CCTCAGCCCTGCTGTCTGGAGCAGCAGGGAACCCAGCCTCAGCCCTGCTGTCTGGAGCAGCACCAAGTAGCACAACCCTCCCCCTTGGGATAGCCTTCTTTCTCATCATCATCTCTTCAGGTCTCAATCATTTGTCACCATGGTGTCTAGAGCCTTGATTAAGACAAGACCCCCCCCCCATCTGCTTTTGCACTGGCTCAAGGATGTCTACAACCCTTCTGATCCACAACTGAATATACCATTCTGTATACAGTCTAGCTAATGTCAAGTGCAGAGTCAATGTTCTTCAGGATCAGGACCAATGTCCTTGCAGTATTCACTCTAAGAGCACATTTTTCTTGTAGCAATTATATCACCCTGTTGGGCTCACATAAGCATGTGGTCAACTCATCCTACGCCAAGTTTGTATCATAGGAAATACTGTCAAGGCAGATGTCCCCAGTCTTGAACATACGGAATTAATGTTTCTAAAGCTAAGTACAACCATCATTTCTACTAAAGTTTGCATTGTGCATGTCAGCTCATATTTCCAAGCTGCTAAGATATTCAAAGTCTTAATCAAGCTATGCAATGTCTTAGTTCCCCAGCGTTGTGTCGTGAAGACGCTTTGTAGGTGTGCCAAATACAAGCACGTATCTTTGCAAGGCTCTTTCTGGTCTTCACCTTTAGTTGCCAAGTTGTGGATTTTGTTGCCTCTAAGTGAACTATTAGTTGGCATCCCCAAACAAAGCCTTCATATAAGCATACCATTCTTGAGACAGCTGCAATAGTTGTAATGCGATCGTTAAGAAAAGAGACTTGAGGTGGCCAGTGGTGGCGCACACCTTTAATCCCAGCACTCGGGAGGCAGAGGCAGGTGGATTTCTGTGAGTGTGAGGCCAGCCTGGTCTACATAGAAAGTTCCGAGCTAACCAGAGCTCTATAGTGAGACCACCTTTATTTTTTTTTCCTCCTGGCTAACTGAACAGGAAGCCCTTAAAGATGTGACTGGAGTGAAAAAAATATTACAAATGATTATGTCCTCAGGACAGAGACTTTGGTCCCATGTCCCAGCACCTGGTTAGGCTCACTGCTACACAGTGAACAACTGAATAACTTTGCTGGCAAATGACTTTTAATACTCTGTAAGAGAGTTAACATCATAAAGGTGCCCCCCACCGCCACCCCCAGAGAATAAAAATGGATGCAAAGCTTCCAGCCCAGGAGATGAGACCAAGGGAGTCTCCCCTGGTCCTGTTAGCAAGCCCACCAGTGACTGCAAAATGAGGAGCTGGAGCTGGCAAGGGTCCTTGAGGTCTCCCAGTCCAACCCTCCCCGGGAGGGTGATGAAGAATGTGGGCCAAAGAGGTGCCCACCCAGATTCCTAGTCTCTGCCAGTAGGTCTGGAGTGGGCAGGTGCAAGCCCCAGCAGATCCCTCCCCAATGGAGCTTTAAAGAGCCGGAGAGAGGATTGGGAAGGCCCCAGCCATCACAGGCTTCCTGGCTGACAGCCAGCATACCCAGGGGCCTGACAAGCCAGGGCCCATTGAATAGCAGCACATTCCAGTGTGACTCATATGTCTACTCTCCTAAGCACCCTCTGCTGAGAGGCACGAAGGTGTTTCTGAGCTTGCACACTGCTCTGACCAACAATTCAATGCTCCCGATGCACAGCTAGACGGGAACACAGGTGGGGTGTCCATGCATGATCAGCAATTGTCCCTGAAAAAGCTAAAGACCCAGGAAGGCTGGCAGCTATGCGTCTTTACCTTTAAGGCCACAGATGCAAGGGTAGCTGCCCTCATTGGGAACTGCCTTTAGTCTAGCCATCCATTTCCAAAGACAGTAAACCATCAGCTGCCTTAGACTCCCGGCAACAGCCTCAAGTCATCCAAAGCCAAGCCTTGTCACTCAAGACAGCGATCAATATCCCTTTTTTAAAAATTAAAACACAAGGCAGGGCTGGAGAGTACAGAGATGATATCTGTGAATTGTACAAACCTGTTTGTGTGGTGATTCCAGTACAAACACTTCAAGGATGAGCCACAAGCACAGAATTACCACACTAGCAGCTTCTCTCTCCCGTAACTCCAAATTTGGATATTTTGTGACCCTGCCTCCTATTCTTCCCTAGAATTCTGATTGTGGCTGGCTTGTACTGCATTTCCTACCCCATATCCTATTCCTGCCTCAGTCAGTGAGGGTGGCAGGGGGTTAGGAGCTGAGACCACATACGGACCAACACCGGACCGCCTGGAGTAAATAAAACCTAGCCTTTCCACTTTAGTTCCATGACTAAAGGTGAATGCCCTGACTTCTGCTTTTCCTTGCCAATGGAATGACTTTTATCTTCCACATGGAGGAATTGTGAGGATGGAATTTGTTTGTGTCCAGCACCTAAAACAACATCTGGCACAAGCCTGCCTTTGCTGCAACAGTTTAACCTCGTTCTACTTAGGAAATGGCCTTTCTTTTATTTTCTCACTGGGGCAAATCCAGCATCACCTCCAGCTCCAGCAGTCAGTGCTTGACCTAGGGTGAATCTGTTCACAGCCGCTGGCTTGGGGGTGACAGAACTCCAGGTTCGGGACCTGGCTGAAAGTGTTAGAGGATAAACCAGTCAACCGAGGGGCTATATCGTCTGACACAACAAGACTGTAGCTTTGCATTGGCTGCTCACTCTGACACTATGTAGGAAAGGCTTGCCAGGAAAGTGAGAGTGAGTAGTGTGGTGCCCTGGGAAGAGAAAGGGACAAGATGCACGCTAACCCGTCTACAAATGCTCATGGACGAGCTTGTGATTCTAAAATCTTGTTTTTCTCGGTTACATACACAGACTGTCCCTGCCCCCGACTTATGATAACTTCCATAAGTATCTGTCACGTGAAACTCAGCCCTGACTAATTGCCTAACACATCATGATTTGCATTCAACATGTCAAGATTCTACCGCTTTGCCAAGTTTACACCAACTCCTCTGCTGTCTCAGCTGCCTTCTGGAAACTTCCTTATCTTCTTGGACTCATGGCTTGTCCTTGCATGAAAGTGTAGAAAGGCTGTTCTGCTCCAGAGCGAGGCATCTGTAGGGTCAGAAGATCTGTGTCACAGTCCACATGCAGAGGCAAAGGTGACTTTCCATGCTGGCTAGTGTGTGCTGTCCACTTGATACAAGCTGGAATCATTTGGGACGAAGGGACCTCAACTGAGGAAATGTCTTCACCAGGGGGGCCTGTGGGAAAGTCTAGATGGCATTTCCTTTATTAATGATCGATGTGGGAGGGCCTAGCCCACTGGAGGTGGTGCCACCATGGGCAGGTGGTCCTGGGTGATATAAGAAAGCAGGCTGAGCAAGCGACGAGGAGCAAGCCAGTAAGCAGTGTTCTTCCAAAGCCTTTGCTTCAGTTCCTGTCTCCAGGTTCCT